TTCCATTCCTGCTCCAATTATCACAATTCGTGGCTTCTTCACCACCATTGCTGTCACACCAATGAAACAACGTTTGAGGGAGGAAAAGAAATAGTATTACACAAGAGTGGTATGAGCTATGAAGGTGAGATTTGAGTAACTGAGGATGAATTTATAATTCAGCTTTGTGGTGCGTCACTGATCCAGCATCACATTATTTTTTGTTATTTTGTTAAGATTCAAATGTATATGTGTGTTTTCCCTTTAGAAAAATGTTAAGAGACCAAAGTGAATTGGAAGTGACATACTATGTTTCAAAATCAATGTTTTAAAAAGAGTTACGTAATAATTTAATTATGTGACTTTATTCAGTTGCCTTTTCTTAGTGATCTCTTTCCGCACACTAAAATTTATTAGCCCCTAAATCTAGTAAAGACAGAGGTCTACTTTTGCTTTATGTCCCTAAGAGTTTCAGTTGGAAATTGTTACTTGTGTTGTTTCTACAACGTGGTACTATAGTTTCTAGTGAGTAATAATTGAAAGACAGAGAGGTAGTACTGAGCGCTGTGGCCAGGTTTCCTTTACAGCGTGGAAAACTAACAAAACAAAACAAATTGTAAGGACAAAAGGATAAATCGATACGCCAACCTTAACATGTAGTGGGAAGTGGGAACCCATCGTTAACAACAACCACTTCATTATTTCATACATTTTTTTTTTTTTTAATGTTGGATAGCACTAATCTCACTCTCAATATCATGACTATTGTTTCGCACATGTCAAATATTAAACATGAGTTCCCATTAAATATCCTTCCAAAATATGTGAATGTAATTTATTCAATTTATTTGATACATTTTTTTTTCTATCTTTTTTCCTTCCATTCCCTTCTGTAAACGAAACGTAGAATACGTATCAAATCTGTATTTTAAGTTAGATTCATCAAAACAAAATATAAATGATTATCTCTCTTTATCTAACAATTCTAGTTATATGCCAACATAAATATCACAATTTTTTTTATTAGTAAAAAAGAATATAATAAGGACAACAACGTTCGGGCCTTTTGGCCTGAATAAATAAATAAATTTAAATATTTTCATAAATAAATTATTTAAAAAAAATTTATCGAATTAAATTATTTTGGCCACGTGAACATTTATAAGCAAAATGTCAATAGGAGTGATGACTTTATTTTACAAGGAAAACGTTAGTATAATTGACGTTTTCAGTTGAAAGAAAATTTGTTCAGAAAACGTCAATATTATTAACATTTTCAGTTGTAACAAAAAATTGTACTGAAAATGCAAGATTCCTGACATTTGTTGAACAAATTTTCCTTCAACTAAAAACGTCAATTATACTAACATTTTTCTTGTAAAATAAAGCCATCACTCTTGTTGACGTTTTGCTCGTAAATGTCTTAAACGTGGCTAAAATAATTTATTTATAAAAATATTTAATTATTTATTTATTTATTTAGGCCAAAAGGCCACAGGATTCGAAACTAAAACATTGTGTATATTATCTCACTCATATCATAATTCTTCTCTATATATAAATTATAATATTTTTATTTAATGAGTAAATACTTTTAAGAATTTTTCAATGAACATATTTTTAATTATTTGTTTAACCATAGTATTTTTAATGATTTTTTTAATCTCTTATTTACTATATCATGATAAAAATTATTTATCATAAATATAAAATATAATTTATATAATAAAAATATTTATTTATTACTATATAATACAGAGATTTGATTCATGATATATAACAAACATACAAGGCTGATCCGAGTATAAGGTCAATGAGACCCTTGCTTTGAGTCTCTTAAAAAAAATTATTTTACATTAATATGTTTATATAATTTTTTTCAAGGACTATAACTTAAAAAGTCACTTTTAATATTTTTCAAAACTCACTCTTAAAGGTGTATCTTTAAAAAAAAAATACAAATATAATTACTTTTTTTTTTCAAGGGTTATATCTAAAATATTTTGATTTTTATTAAAAAATATTATTATTAATTTTAAAAAAGTGTCAGATTTGTTTTAGACCTCTTGGACAGGTCACACAACATATATCCTAAATTGTTGCACTTCTTTTAGAAACAGGCCTCTCTTGATCATTTAACCTTAAACAAATTATATATAAGAAAGTATAATTATTGATGTTGTTATAAACTAGAAAAATAATTTTAAAATAAATATAATAATATCAACTTTGTTTCTATTTAAAGATTTACAGAAAGCAATAAACACTATGAATTTTTTTTTTTACATTTCCAATATAAATCTATAAAAATATAAAGCAAACTTAGATATAATTATCAGTAAAACTATAAAAAAAATATTTCTTACCACAAATCATTATTCATTCAAAGTTCTGTAATTATTATTTAAGCCTAAAATTTTTTCCTACTTTAGATTGCAATACTATCTCCCATAAATTTTTACTTATCAAAAATAAAAATTCTTTCAATCAAACTGTATACAAGTATATGAGTATGAACAAACTAATATCTATCAGCGAAACCCAACTGAGGTATATTTGTTTTAGATTTTAGTAGAATTTATTTTGAAACAATTAAATTTAAAATAGATATTTTATAGTTTATAATGATATTTTAAAGTGAATTAATAAAATTTAATTTTAACTAATTACTAAAATATTTTTTAGAATATATTTTGAATCTTATTTTTGGAATTCATTTCCATGAGAAAAAATTATAGATTCAAAATGTGATCAACCAACTTAACTCTGCACAATTAATAAGTCATTGATCTAAGTGAAAGTAAGATTTTGAATTTATTAAATCTTGAAGATTAAAAAATTATAATTAAAAAAAATTCTTCGTAAAGATTAATATTCATATCAATAAAGTTGATGAACAAGAAACTCCAACACAGCTGCATGAACTATATTATTTTAGCGTGAACTAGTTTTCGGATATTAAAATTAACAAACAGGCATCAATAATATAAACTAAAAAAGCTAAGTAAATTTACAGCTAATGAGTTTCCGTAATTAGTGTCCAGCGACATATAAAAAATTAGAACCAATCAGATATCGAAGAATAGTCATTGAAAACAGTGACATGCATAATATAATTTGCTTTAATATCTTTTATAAGCGCAGTCAATCTTTTCAGCAATAGCTCCTTGATAGTAAGGCATCATTATCTTAATCTGATAGTAATTAACTTGAGGTAATGTATCGTTATCACAATTACTCACTTGTCAGTAACATAGTTCCTTCTTATAAGTGGAGAAAATTAAACAAATAAAAAAAATTAGTGAATTGTTAGAAAATTTATATTATAAAAAATAAAGCAAATTTTTACAATATTACTTTCCAAGATTTACATAATAAGATGTCTAAATTCGTGTATTCAAAACTAAAACATTTTAAAACCTCACGAATAATATTTAGAAGAACAAAGTATTAATTAAGGAAGATATAATTTGTCATATATATCCCAAAACTCACTCTTTACTTATATAGTGTATAAACATTCACTTCATTAACAAATAATTAAAAACAAATTTTAATACTAACGATAATTGAATAATTAATATACTAACATTAATAATGATATTATCATATAACATCATATTAATATCGTGTACTATCATGAATCATAATTTGAATTTTCGTTAAAATGTGTATACATCATTGTCCACATAATACATGTGGGAACGAAAACATAATCAAACAATTTTGGACTTTGCTTGAGATATTAAACTTGGTTATACTGAAAAATAAATAAGTAAATTGAATGAGTGAATCTGTTTGTTATAGATTGGTGGTTAGGGGTGTTCATGGATCGGTTTTTTTTGAAAAAATCGATCCAAACCGAACTGAACCGTTTTATAAAAGTGGATCGGTTAACCGATCCATTTTTTTTATAAAGTGGAGCGGTTTGGTTCTTTAAAATATGGATCGGTTTTTATGAAATTGGATCGGTTCGATGCGGTGCAGTTATTCACTTTTTTTACTCATATATGGATCGTTTTTTTAGAAAATCAAACCGAACCGAACTGATTTATTTTGTAAAAATGGATCGGATAACTGAACCGGTTTTAAAAAGTGGTTCGGTTCGAATTTTTTTCAATATGAATCGGATCGGTTATGAATCAGTTCGGATCAATTTGGATTTTTTGCACACCCCTATTAGTGGTGCAAAGATGATTGAGAGGTGTGTGACTGAAGTCTTTATAATGTATTTGGTTGATTTGCATGTTATACTTTTGGTGAGCAATAGAGAGATGATAGAGACGGTGTCTCAGCTCAATTTAAGAGAGAGTGATTCATCTAAGAATGGTGTTGGAATCTTTACAAATGAGGTAAAGGATTGAGATCTATATTTGTCGGGGGTGTCACTTTGAAGCGCCACTTTTGACTCCATTCTCCACCATAAAGCTAATTTTGCACTAGTTCAACCTCCACAATAAAACCTTTAAGCTATTTCCTTTTTTAATAAATCAACTTAATCATGGGAGGACAAAGTTGCCAAACACAATTTAGATAAATGATTTCACATGTCAAAAAGTTTAACAAAAACCTTAAACAACGTTGATAGAATTAGGGATATTCATTCAATTGAATTGTTTAATTATATTCAACTAAGTTAATTTAATTTAATATTTTAAAAATAGTTAAATCAAACCATGTCAAACTATCTACCCAAATAAAAAACTAGACAAACTAAAATGTAAATCCTTTTATAAAAAAATCAACTAAATTCTATGTTTTTGCTCATGTTAAAAAAAAAAAAACTCGTCGAAATTATGTGAGACGTAGCGTGATCAAGAGATCATCACATTTATTTATGGAAAATGCTTTCTAATTGTCTTAGAGCAATTTTGACCTTTTAAAAGAATGTGATATATATTATATCTTTTTAATGTGTGAAGGAGAGTGATGCCTATCAAACTTTATAAAAAATATCTAAAAACTTTTTGGTCCCGACTTGGGCTCTGTTGATCTCATGGTAGTTGTGCAATGAAATAAAATAAGTTAGTTATAATAGTTGGTCTAATAAGTCAATTGATCAATAAGTTTGAGGTAACTTAAATATTATATTTGCTTTAAGTATTCGACTATACTTTGGGATTAGCTCCATTGAATGGGATTATTTGCAACCATACCTAAACTTCATTTCAATCATCTTAATTAAATAATCTACCACACCCTATGTGTTGAGTCTAAAATTGCAACCATCATCAAACCTTACCACAGTCATTTAATTTAAACAATTTATTTACAACAAAATATAAATCGATTGTTAATGATTGTTAGAAGTTGAGATTTTTCTAGATACTTTAAGAAAATATTAAATATTTATGTTTGTTTCATTTTTTTATTATCTTAATTGCTAGTGATGTGGTTAGGTGAATTAAGTGTTAATCCTTATTTCAAGGGATTTTTTTGTTGCTTGGCTATATGGTTAGGTCACACCTCCTTGACCTATATTGGTGTAATGTAATTTTAGTTAATAGAGTGAAAGAGTAATGAAATAATGTGACCACTTTTCTTCCTCTTTCTTTGAAGCATCAAAACAGAAACTTTACTTTTTTATTAAAGTTTTCTGTTCTAGTTTTTAACAATGATCATATATAAAATTATCTTATACTTTTTTTTCTTCTGTGAAAACAGAATAACGTAATCATAGAATAAAATTTGACGTACAAATAACATTAAACTTTATAAATATATAATTATTTAATATTTAAATTAACAAATTTTCATTTAAAATGTTGACTTGTATAGTTTTAATCTCTCCACTAATTACTTTTTGGATTCGTCCATGGTCTAGGTTTAGGGTTAACCGTAAAATGTTCTATATGAAGCTTCATATTGTTGCGAGTATGATTCAAGAATTATTGTTTAGTTGTTCTATTCTAACTTTATTGCCGATAAACGTCCTACATTCCTGTTATGCGATTTCCTTAAAAAGAGAATCGAACAATCAATTCTATCAAGATCAAATCTGTCGAACATTGTCAAGTAGGCATGGCAACGGGGCGGGGCGGGCGGATTTTACGTTCCCCGCTCCCGCCCCCGCAAATTTAAACCGGCCCCATCCCCACCCCTGATACCTACTGGAGATAAAATCTAGGTCCCCATCCCCGCTCCCGGCGGGGTTCGGGTTTCCCCGCCTCGCCCCCGCTCCTATTTTTTTTCTTCTTTTTTTCTTTTAAATAAATATGAACAATTTAAAAAAATAAAAAAAAAAAGTAAAATAATATAAATTTTCATATAAATATTTATAATGGGGCGGGGTGGGTATTAACATCCCCGCCCCCGCCCCTGCCCCCGATTTTATCAATCAAGAAAAACTCGAACCCGAATCCAAACCCGATAAACACGAGTTTTTCCCATCCAAATCGGGGCGGGTTCAGGCAGGTACCTACGGGGACAGGTTAGATTGCCATGCTTAGGTGGGACAAAACTTGGTTGGGTCATGGTGGAGTTTATGATTGCCCTCTTTTTTATTTATTTATTATTATTATAAAATTAAGATAACAATATTTGAACTAACACATAGGGTAACTACCAATTTTTTTTTTTTTTACCATTATAGGTTGCTCCTAATAGGTTGAGTTTATCATTCTTCGGCATAGGTTTACAGGGTCTCAGATGATTGTTGAATTGGAGACATAATTTATTTTTAGTCCAAAGAAATAATAAAAATAGAAAAAAATATTTTAGGGGGATGAACACAATTAATTCTCACACATGGATATGATTGAAAAATATTGTGCACAAAAAAATAATGATTTATTTGCATATATGATTAACTTCATTCTTGTAATTGGTTTTACTTGACAAAAAAGATTTGGTTGTTGTTTTTGTATCTTAATTCTTGAAAAATGTTTAAGAACTTCTACTTATGAAAAAAATATCAGAAATAGTTAAGCAATAAGATGTTTATTTTTTAAATTCAAACATCGCCAAATGTTTTTAAAAAAATTATGATCTGATATCATCAATATAGCATATCATATATTTTCTAAATTTCGCATTAAGTTTTAAGAATATATTGAGAAATACAAGTCCAGCTAAAGGCCCCTTTGAGATGCTGCCAAATAAATAGAGAGCATAATATAATTGTCGTGTTTGTATGTCTCAACGCAAGTGTTTAGACATATATAAGAGGGTTAACACCCAAAAATAAAAAAACACATAAATGGGTATAATTTGATATTGGTGTAGAGCATGATGCATTCATGTTTCAACAAAATTTTTTTAAAAATGTTTTGACCAGTAAAGCAATTATAAATAAATAACTAATTTCACGTCTGGAAATAACTTCTTTAGAGGAAATAATTTCTCCTTTTTTTAGGGTTATTGATGAAAATAAATAATTATTTCTTTAAAATATGATGAGCTAAATACATATCAATTAACATGGAGTTTCAGAAAACACTTTTAAACGTTAATAAATATACAATAAAAAAATGCCTAATGCTTTTAACTATCTTAAAAACAAAAATTACATTTTTTTAATGTATTTCAATGAAATTTAATATTTGATGAATAAATGTATATCACTAAATCATAACTCATATACGCATGTATGTTACTTAGATATTACTTCTTTTTTTTAATGAATAAATGTAAATTAAATTACAGTCCCATAAGATTATTTTAAATTATATATACTATCAATTTATCACAAGATATTTGCTCTAAAATAAAAGTATCCAAATTAAACTATACAGTATACCACATCCAAGATACACAAATACTGAAATACCAATTTAATATTTGATGAAAACAAAAATCTGAGAATAAATCCTACTATTTTTTGGCCTATAAAATGCCAAATTATTTTTGTCTAAAGAAAGATCATATACAATTACGAATTTCATATGTCAATCACATACCTTCATGGAAGTAAAACAAAAAACATAACTGATACAAATCCTCCTTGATTACTGATACAAAATGATGGAGAACATAGGGTTATTATACATCTATAAGGGTACTAAGGAAGCAAAGACATACAGTAGTAAACATATTTACAGATGAAGCGAAGTATCAACGTCTGAGCTATCAAAATTTCTTGATGCTGATGCTCCCTGAGGCCACAAATTGGAGGAAGGGGTCGGTTTCATGGTGCTGTGGTCGCCACCATACTTGTCTGTGAAATTGAGGCCAAGAGAAAGAGCATCATGATGTGGATTCACCAACCTTGGTTGTTGAGAGTTTTGTGATGAAGCGGGGTTGTGCATGATAACAGATGAGGTGTTCTCTGATGACAAGAGCTTAAGAAGTTGTTTCCCTTCTCTTCTTTCTTTCACCTTCTCCAATTGTCTAAACCTTTCTTGAAGAAGGGCAATGGAGGAGTTGACAGTGGTAGTAGGATCATGATTACCTTGCCTACCCATTTGGCAGTGAGTAAAAAAAATTGAATCTTGGGTCTTGTTTATATTTTGGTGGGTTTGGCATGTAGTGGTTTGGAAGTGGTATATGATACAAGGGGGTGCATGTATAGGAGATAATCATTTTTAGCTGTGCATAGTTTATTTTTTTTCATTTGGGTGCTTCTTTCTGATTCCTGATGATGGTAACAGAGATTAGAATCGACTGCTGATGGAGAACATGCCAAAGGGAAAGTTGCTAAAAGTTGGTATAGTCACTTGGTGTGTGGCCAAACGGACTTTTTGAGGGAGGAAAAGGGTGAGAGGTAGAGTCCAAATTGGTGGTGATGTGTAGCATTTGGAAGGGAGTATTGTGGAGAATAAATGGTTAGGTAATGCTTATCTGGGGTTGTCAATTTTAGCCACTGTTTGCTTCCGAGAAGATGGTACTTTTTTGTTTGATCTTGCTGCTATAATGCTTCCTTTTTTAACTGTTGAATGAGCTATTCTTGTTTTGGAGCTCCAAGGAGAGTGTCGTGCTGTGCACAAGAGACAAAAGGAATAGAGAAGGAATATTTTTGGAGTTTGCCATCAATGATTGAATTAGTCCTAGTACTAGTCTAGTGTCCAATGTCCATGAAGGAAAGACATTGAACTCACTCTATGGTGTAAGCATATGGCTTGTTTAACTATACATACACTCTAGCTACTTTTAAATTCTAGTTGTAATCAATTTCCATATTTTTGCCAGTGGATTTTGGGTTGGTTGAAAGCCATAAAGCTTAGTTTTGTGATCTGACCAGGTGTCGACCATTTTACCAGTGAAAGCCAAACCCATCATCTCGTATATCTTCCCTCCGAGTTGTGCTGGATTATCAGGTTGCACACCAACAAATTCAGCCAAAAGATACAAGTTTAGGATTTCACGATGGAAACTTAAATGACATTCATACGAATGATATCAAGCCAGGAGCTTACCGTGAAACCACAGGAAACCAAAGCAGCAATGCAGCATCATACAAAAGATCAATGGCCGAGGGCATCTTCATTGTCAGGATTTGTTTTGCATGCAGCCTGAAAATTATCCATCAAGATTATATTACCATAATTTCATTTTGTAATCACAACGAAGAAAAGTGGGGATATACCATCTATCATACATCCAAATTCCTGATAATAGAATGGTCAACATTGATCTCAAACACCCTTCTGCTCCTCATGAATTCCAAGCTGGATGCATCACCCAGAGTTTGTGCCTTCATCAGCCTGCAGTTTGATTACATACCGCATATTGTTACTTGAACTTTCACAATACATCACTTAATATCTAGGAGAAAAAATGACAACCTCGCCATGAATGCAGACCAACCAAATTTTCCAGACGCCAGAACAGAAGGTGAACAGCTAAGCCTGTTTGAAATTTGCACACTTGCAACTTTATCTCCCAATCGTTTCTTGATCCAGTCACATGTTTGGCCTTTCCTCATTCTTATCACCTGCAGAAGCAACATACTAAATATAACAATTTTGAACAATAAAGAACCAAGCTACGAATTCAGACCGTCGTCAACATTAAGATTGGCTCAAAAGAGAGACTAACAAATGTTTGGTTAACTAAATGCAAAAGACCCTCGAATAAGTCGAGCACGTGACCAATCAAATTATTGAAAGAAAGTTAAAGAAAGAAAAAAAAAAAAAAAGTTAAACTAGATCCAGGTCTTCCTTGCTAACGTCATCAAAATTCTTTTCCTTGTATGATTCAAGGTTTTGAATGGCAACCTCATCTATTGGATGCACCAAAAACAGCACCTGAAAAATTACATTACAAAAACATCAATATATATAAATCGATAGAAATAAGTACTCAAAAGATACAAAGTTATAAACTATAGTATAAACAAGTTTATACTTCAATATCCTTCTCTGAAAGTCTCTCCAAGAAAGGTGTGTTCTTTGCACTAGTCACACCCTCAGCAGCAATGTAATAAATATCCTTTTGATCAGGTTTCATTCATCCAAGCTGATCAGATCTTTACCACTTTGGGATGAGACAAAACGAAGCAATGGAGCAATGCGTTTGTGATTCCCACGGTCCTCGATGCAACCTAATTTCAAGTGTTTACCAAAGTTCTCGCAGAAATTCTCATAGTCTTGCATACAAAACATGTCAGCCAGTAAAATACTAACAGGAAAAGGGACATCTTTTTACAAAGAGCAGTTATATAAAACTAAAGACCTAAAACAACATATTAGATATATATAATGTTGATATTTCTAAGATAAAACCACCTAAATTTATCCTAGCTCCTCTACAACTTAAAAAACAATAAAGAAAACTGTGTACAATTAGAAATTTTCAGAATAATAATATACCTCTCTGTTCTCACTCGTGGATATCCCCAGAATCATGTCAAAAGCTTTCCGAACTAAACGTTTCCTCATAATTCGCACCTTCGAGCACCACGTAGAAAAAAATTAAGCAAGATGAAACTGGTAAGGAATTTTATAAGTGTACCCTAAAAGAGAGATCCAAGTGTAAACTTCAAAAATGTGTTGCCCTCTTTACTCACTATGCGGTTCTCTTGAAGAATTTCACGTGACACATTGAATGGAATGTCATTTGAGTCAAAAACACCTTTGACAAAGCTTAAATGTCGAGGGAACTGTTCAAGCAAGTAAACATCAGAGGAGTATTCAAGTAAAAGCAAACAACATCCATCCTCTGAGGATGAACAAACCTGTTCACAGATTTAGGCCTAAGAAAAGGATCTAATTGGCCCAATTCAATGAATTATTTTAATTTTATTTTCTATACATTAAATATGTTTAATTTAATTTTTTTGTTTATTTTTAATTAGAGCTACAATAAGGCTAGGTTACGGTGGCCATCAAAATCGCGGAAAGCAAGAATTTGGCGCTGGGCCAATCACTGGAAATTCTAACAGTTGCCAGAAAGACAATATTTCAGTAAAATTTCACGATACCGTCCTATTAAGTTTACAAGGTACTGACAGCTTTAGAGACCAATCAAACCCCCTCCAGAGAGTTTTTGTTGCAAAGGCAGAGCCCAATTCTGATCAGGAGCTTCAATATAATGTGAGAAGAGAAAAAAGATTTATTTTCTGGATTTTCTCCAGCGAATTCAACTCAGCAGAGTGATCTATTTATAATAATAATGATTACAAAGTTAACTACTATTTTCAAGAGAATCATGTCCTAAAATAGTACATTGAACTCAGCTAAATACAGTAACTAAGCTACTTGAAAAACTAATAATCACTATGCTCCTGTTTCCAACATAAGGGTACAGTGAGGGGCATTTAAACTGTTGCAGGATCGTTGATCACACCCAAGAAATCATCTTTTATGGTACCTATGCAGAACTGCAAAAGAAAAAAGTTATGCACTATATCAGATAAATGAATTAAAGGAAACACTGACACTGAACCAGAAAAATATTCAATATCCAAAGGCAAAAGTGATATGTATCTCTCTGCTTGTAACTTTAAAAACTGAACAGTGGCACAGTTCATATCTATAGTCATACAACCGAAGGAAAGGAAAACATCTACCAAGCATGTGCAAAAGTATTAGAACTTTATTAGCATACAACCTATTATCATATGTTTTCTAGAACTGCCATTAGGCTACAAGGCCATGGGTATCACAAGTTCCTTGAAGACATATTCACACATGGCATAAAAGATAATCATGGCAGGAACAATACAGTCAACATATAACATCAACTGTGTGGTAAAAATATTATTATACACATTACAAGTAGTAATTGGAAAATTAGTGATCACAATTTTCTCATAATGCTCAACGTTTACAAACGAAGTAAAGTTGTACCATGGAATAGTAATGATTCTTGCACACCACAAAAGTACACGGCACATTTATAACTCCCTCATGGTAGCTAGTAACTTTAACATTCCATGTTGATAACTTTTGAAATGGGTGAAGTTTAAACAGTGAAGAAAGAGTTACCAGCACAGTAAATTACTAGCAAACAGAGCACAAACTAGCATTCCAGAAATGTAAAAATATCACCACTTTCATGATATGCACAAATACTACAGCTAAGCTAAGCCAATGATCAAGAGCTAAACATTAAAATTAGCAAATACTAAAGCTCTTTCTGGGGGAACTTGAAATAGTAAAGAAATATGCAGAGAAACAAAATCTATATCTTCTAGAGCTAATCAATGCTTTCCTATTAATTCAAATTTGTCAAAGCAGAAGGAGCTTAACAGCATTCAACAAAATGAAGTGAAAGACATATAATATAATATGATATATATATATATATATATATATATATATAGACATACAATTTCAGTAGCATCCACTCGAGTCCCAATTATCTTTAGTCTCACTTCACTGTCTTTTTGAATCTTAACCTGCAACAGACCAGCTAATTAAATAAAAGACCCAAGACAACAAAAAGGAGAAAACAAATTGCTCTTTTCTTATCCATTAAGGAAGTTATAATGATACATACTTATCCATCTGAAGTAGTGTAATTTGGCATGTCTCCAGACTGGAACTCCATATCATCCGGAATCAACTAAGAGGGGACAAAAATGGGTCTTAACAAAGAAAAATATATATATAAAAAAGTAGGACTTAAAGATCATAAAAGAGAAAGTTACGTGGTTTGAAACAAAGATTTGAACTGGTCCAGCTTCAGCAAAAAATCCCATCTGTAGAAACCAGAAGAGTGATAAAGCAATAAGAATAAAGCATAACGGTAAGAAAATGTTAATTGCTTAAAGAGAAAGAGAAAGGAAGTGTATGAACCTTGTTGACCATGGTAACAACAGCTTCTAAGATCTCCCCCTTAAATGGTCTGAAGACAACACATTGGTACTTAACTGGGAATGTGACAAACCCTGTTCCATCACGAATTAAGCCTTTTCCTATGTTTTCTATCCCTGTAACGGCCACCACAAACCCATGTCGACCACTGCATAATAGTTGAAAATGGAAATCGGCGAAATGAGTTAGGGATTCTAGATAATAATTACATATTGTGGAATGAAATGCATAAGAAAAAGTTAGGGTTTTTAAGTGTAATTGGGTAAAAAACTAAAAAGAAAAGACCTGCAAGTGCCTTCGACATCTTTCATTAGCTTGGAAACAAGATTATCGCGGAGGTTGCGGCCAAAGTAGCGCGGATGAAGCTGCATATTACGCTCCAGCACTATGTGGAAAAACATTCTCGATTTTGTGTTTCTTGGGATCTTTGAGACAGAGCTTCTGTGAAAACGCTTCTTTTGTTGGATTAGGTTTCCTTACGACGTTTAAAAGTGATAAATAAATAAATATGACTGATCTATCATTTATCAATAACATTAATAAAAGAAATATATTATTTTAGTATACATATTTTTTAAACAATTTTATCTTTAAAAATAATATTAAAAATTATTTATTTTTACAAAATTTTAAACAATTTTAATATTTAAAAATTAAAAACAATATCAATTAATTTTATATATTAATAATTTTTAAATATTTTTATTAAATAAAATATAAAAATATAAAATGTCTTAATCTTACAAGTATCTATAACAATAATAAAAAATATATATATAATTTTTTTATTTTCACCTATTTCAATACTTATTTATTATTTAATTTTAAATTTTTTAAAAGTTATTTATTTGTTTTTTATTTTCGCTTCAAATACTTTTATTTTTTATTTTTATTTTTTGTAATAGTTTATAGCATTTTTAAAGATATTATTTTAATTAGTATTTTTCTAAAACGTTAGTTTCTAATTTTTTTTTTATTACTAGTATGTGTAGATATTTATTATATATAATTAAAATTTGTGATTAGTTATATATATAAATAAATAGTGTGCTTAAATATATAAATTATATTTATAATTTGTATAAATTTATATTTTTAGTTATATAAATTATATTTTAGATTTATAATAAATAATTTATATTGTAATACAATATTATTTTTATTTATTAATAATTTATTTTAAAAATATTAAAATTTAACTCATAAATAATTATGATAAAAACACTCTTATACTGAGGCACAATATTTAGCATCTACATGGACCTTGGCCGTTGTTGGTAATGGATGGATTCATTTGTTTATGGTTTCCATAGTGTCTTTGAATTGGATGATGAATTAGTTACATCACCCATAGATTAAATTCCTGGAACATCATTTGAATGTTTGAAGTAATTAATATTATGGGAAAAATAGAAAACCATAGAATAAGACAACTCAATGATTAATATTCTGAATTTCTGGGGACCCAAATTTCTAATATATAGTGATTCTGACACAGATTCTTCTGCTGATGTAGTTACATTAGTTAAAAGCGGAAGATGAAAAGCAGAAGATTGCATAATGTTGTTGGCATCCTGAATCCTCATTGTCCAGGGACAAAGTTAGTGGCATAAGCCCAAGCATTGTTGGCAACAGGATCAGCAACATGGTCGAAGAGGTTCTGAATGGGGCCCTTGCCAGTGACAATGGCCTGAACGAAGAAGCCAAACATGGAGAACATGGCCAAGCGACCATTCTTGAGTTCCTTAACCTTCAACTCAGCAAACGCATCAGGGTCATCAGCGAGGCCAAGAGGGTCAAAGGCCCCACCAGGGTAGATGGGGTCAAGGCCTTCACCAAGAGGCCCGCCACCAACTCTGTAGCCTTCAACAAAGCCCATGAGCACAACCTGGACGGCCCAGATGGCAAGGATGCTTTGGGCATGGATGAGGTTTGGGTTGCCCAAGTAGTCAAGGCCTCCCTCAGAGAAGATTTGTGCACCAGCCTTGAACCACACTGCCTCACCAAACTTGACACCGTTCTTCTCGAGGATCTCTGGGAAGGTGCATCCAAGGGCACCAAGCATGGCCCATCTGCTGTGGATCACCTCCAGCTCACGGTTCCTCGCGAAGGTCTCCGGGTCGGCGGATAACCCGGCGGTGTCCCAGCCGTAGTCGCCGGGGAATTCGCCGGTCAGGTAGGATGGAATCTGGTCAGAGAATGGTCCCAAGTACTTGGGACGGTCAGGACCATACCTGTTTTTTCACAACACCTCATGCAAAGTTAGACACATTCTCAGACACAAACACAAACAACGTTTTATGTTATAACCATGTGTTTGTTCAGTACTAAACCATGTGTTTGTGATCCACCTTTTTTAACATTTTCACGTCATAAAGTAACTAATAATTGCTACTCTAAAACACGTCTAAGTTGAAAGAGATAGAAATCAAACACACCCACACTAGTACTTACCAAATGCTCTGAGGAGCACTCTTCACGGTACGGCGCATGTTAGTGCGGCCTTTGCCGGAGCCACCGGTCTTGCGGACGAACTCATTGACCTGCTTGAGAGCAGTCTGACCAGCGAATGCTGATTGCTGGATAGCAGAGGTGGCCATGGGTGCTTCAAGAAAGAGTATGTCTTGTGTTGTGAGTTGTGAAGAATGAATGAGGCTTTGTACAAAGGTTTATACAAGTGTGTGTGAGAGGCCACGTTGATATTGTGGATGAGGATATGCACAACTCAGCAACACCTCATTGGTGGATGCATTTGGAGCTGGATTCTCATGCTCCTCAACTGCCTCTCCTTCTGCCACGTGGACACAAAGATCTCCTTTCTCAAACCTTCATTGTGAGCCACACAAATTGAAACTTGGAAGATACTTTGGCTTCGGGTCATGCTACACGCAAAACAATACCCGTGACCCATCATCACATTCTTAACAAAAATAAATAAATAAATTAGTTGATGGTTGTGAAAACAGCTACTGAATTCTGAAGCTACTACTACTACTAGCCACTCAACCTCAAGAACGAGAACACAAGGTGGCAGCTAATTTTCGCTAGCTTACAAATTTGGTTTATGTGGGAATTTTATCTTAGGATTTTAGAAGAGATAATGACCTCTTTAACTTGGTGTGATAACAAATAGTTGGAAAATCCCGTGTAAAAATCACCAATGAAGTTTTAGTATGAATTCAATATCATAAGCCAGAAAATTTGTATTTAAAAACTAGTGTGGAAAGTTCTATTTAAACCAATGACAAAAAGATTAATAAAAACGAATAAGGCTTTTTGGGTACTGGAAAAATAGGAGGTGCCTCATATTAAGGCAGAGAAAATCTTCGGCCTCAAAAAACACTTTCAATTGTCAGACTCTGTCTTGTTCCACTCGATAAACTCTCTCTGGTTAAAAATAAATAAGATTTAAATGAACAATTAATATAATTAATGGAAAAAATTAACATAAATTTATTGGTTTAGGATTTAAACGACAGAAAAGATAAATTGTTTGTTGTGTGATTCGATATCGGCTTTTCTTTAATGATGATATATGATGAAATTGGTTGAATTATTTGCTCCTTCGCCGACCGACTGTTATTAGAACACCAATATACTTACTCTTTTGCTAAGCCGCGTGTTTCAGCATCATAGTATAATGAAATTAGTGAGTATAAACTATAAACTCTTCAAACTAAAACAAAATGATAAGGGTCCAAACTGCACATTTTACATGCCATAAACTTGACCCGAAATGGGAAAAAGGGCCAACTTTGACACTGCGTACTCCCTGAATAAAAAGATTTTTTGAGTGAAACCTTTTTCTACAGTTTTGTATTACCTAAATCCAGTTCTCTGCCACACAGTTTCATAGGCATTAGACTCGCATAACTTATTTTGGACCCCTCGGTACATTTTGGCCCAAATCTAGTTGAATTAATGACTCAAGAAGCCTAAATTATGACTCATGGTGAATTTAGGTGTGAAACCAATCCCTAAAATCCTATTTTTAGGTGTATCAAATCTGTTTTGAGATCTTTTGATGTTCCTCCCTGCGGATTTTATATTTACTCTTGAAAACCCTTGTTTCTGAAGCTGTTTTTTTTTTTTAACCTGAACTTGAAATGTAAACCATTTTTAAAACATTCAAGTTTTTTGGTAGAAAAACCTGTTTTCTAGAATTATGCATTTTACAAAATTTAGATATGCGCCATTTTCAAACAACTCAACATTTTTCAGTCAAACCAAATCCAATAGATCACCTTAACCTATATCAAATCTGTTTTGAGGTTCCGTGATGATTAGAGCCTTGTAACTCAATTAGTATAGAAAATTGTTTCCTAGATCTCCTTAAAACTGCAAACTTGTGATGCATGTAGTTTTCAAGCCACAACTCCAATTTAGATGAAACTAATACTCACTATCTTATTTTTAAGTAAACTAAATCTGTTTTTCGGTTTTCGGATGAAAGGGTCAATGTGTGATCACATTGCTTCCCAAAATTGCCTCTTGAAAGACCCAATTCAAGGAAAATCCATGAACAAAGGACATGTTTTTGACCTAGAGACCTAACTATGAGTTTACCTACCATTTATTTAGGGTACAATAAGTGTAAATCATCAATGTTGAGTAGGGTTAGTCTTGTTGTGAAGATAACCATATGGCCTACCTAGTAGCTCAGATACATTTCTACCAAATCTACTCTATGCTAGTGAGCTTTTAACTTGATCATGAATTCGTATGAGTAAACCTAGTTCATGTCCATTGAGAATAGACCTTATATATGTCCTTTAGTCGAACAAGATAGTAATAGAAATGAACTCTGTAATTAAAATAACTTCTTATAGAAGTCTTACATAACTAGTAATAGATTAGCCTAAAAATAGTTTAGCCTACCTTGTGTCCAGTGAATTTCCGGGATGAAATTTCTAAAGCGGTAGAAGTATGGTACAAAATTTTCAAAAGTCATTTGCTATTTTTAATAATTATGTCTTTTGAAACTAGAGTTCTAGAAGTGTTTTGTTATTATTGGAAGTTGGCCTAAGAAGAGAAAATTGCAGAGAATTTTAGAAACTGAAATATATTGAGTACCAATTATTTTGGAAACTAACAAGAGTCATCCAAACTAAATTATGTAAGACTACTAAGTTCTGAGAAGTAACAAATGCAGAATAAACACCATTATACAACAAGTAAAGAATTTTTGGGTGTCAAGTAAATCTGTCTGACACTAACGAATTATTATGTTGGTGCCTATTTGACTAAAAATTAGTCCTAAAGGGAACACAAGAAACATCAGAAATGGAAAAGCTGGAGAAAGATAGAACGAAGGTGAAGTAATTGATTCTGAACCATAATTGCTGGGACCACGACTGTTCTTCATGGTCCATTCCAATATCCATGAAAGAGCAGCAATGAAGACACAGATACCCCATCTCGTAGCATTCAGCTGCATGCAATCTGCTAAGCCTTTGGCATACTCAATCACTAGCACTTGCATAAGAATACAACCACCGAAAGCCCCCAAGAAACAGAAACTATGAATAACCACCTTAAAAACTTCCTTTTTCAACAACTGCATGGTGTTGAGCAGATTGGAGAGCTGGCACAGTAGGAATGTGTTGAAGATCATGGCTTCCCTTACTTTTCTTTCCTTGTCGGTAACATGTCCACAAAACTCAAGAATCATAGAAACAGAAGCCTGGTATAAAACCTGAAAAGCAATTTTTTTCCAGATTTTTTTGGTTATGATCGGTTGGTTCCTATGATCAGATGGTTGATTGGCAAGCTGTTCTTGGCTAGTTAACATCATTACCATCATTAGGCCACCCAACATGCACATCCAAACATTCACCCAAATCAACTGGAATGCTGCAAGGGGGGAATCTCCAGTGCATATTGTTGTAATCAAAGTTATGACTAGCCCTGATATGGTAAATGTCATCTGAAGTTGAATGAACTTCTGAATATTGTGGTATTGACTTCTGCCAGCCACCAAAATTGGTTTCAATGCACTGAAACATTTTATAGATATGTCATAACTATCTCTATCCACTATGGTGCTCAGAGAATCATGAACTATACCCACGTCAGCTACCTTTAGAATTGAAGCATGACTAGTCATGAACCTTGTTCCAATGAATGCAACCACCTTACCTTTCTCTTGCAAGCACTGTACCATGAGAAGTTTATCTTTAGGACTGAAGCTTCCCATTACATGTGCTCCATCCACTCTGTCTATTCTAGCTTTCTTATTCAAATCTTGAAGATCTTTTCCTTCAAGCAGATTATCATGATCTAGTCCTAGTTCACGAGCTATGCCTATCACTTTCATGATGTCATCCTCTGAGACCAGTTTGATCTGTGTATTTCCAGCATTTCTGAGATTTTCCAAAGCTGATTTTGTGGGAATAGTGTATTTGAGACCTATCATTCCTAACAAGATCAGTTCTTCTTGCTCAAGTTCTTCTTCGTGTGTTTGCTTATAAGCAAAAGCAATTGGCTCAAGGTCACTGTCCTCCATCTCTTTAATCACCTTCTCAAATTTGATCTTCTGATTTTCCATGGCATGGCGTTCCCCTGCACTATCATAGTATAGTGAACACATCTCCAAAATTGTGGATGCAGCCCCACTCCAGTGCAAGTGCAGATCTCGTTCATTGTCCCCAACTTTTCTCGCCAAAACTCCACAGCCTTCTTTACTAGAATTCAGTTTGCTGAGCTCAAGAATGTCAAAATTTTCTTCTGTGAAGGATCTCATTTTCATTTCCAATGTTGTTTCTGCCCAAGAAAAAAGTGAATAGTACAAAGGGGAAAGAGAAATCTCTGGTGCAAGGACTGACAAACCAACTCCTTGTTTAAGCAAGTGAAGCACAAGTTGATCTTTTTCTGATTCCTCAACCTTGCTGATATCTTTCTCCCCCATCCATATTCTGCTAACCTCCATTGGTTTAGATACCAACCCACCTGATACATCAATACATACAACAGTTACCAGCCCCATTGTAGTACAAGCTGATAAATCATTAAGAACTGCATCTTGGTTTTGCTCTACCTTATCAATTTGGCACTTGAGAGATATTGTAACCACAAGTGGCATTCCATGCTGCACACATAGTATAGCAACAGTAACAAGGCCTGTTAAAATGGAAACCCTTCCTTGTGGTCTCAAAAAAACTGTCTGAAAGGCTTCCATCAACAAGCTAATTGAGATCTTCCCCTTCATTTCTGGCAACCCACTATTGTTCCCATCTTTTCCAAAAATTAGGCGAATTAACACCACAAATGCAACCAGTACAGAGATAAAAAGAGCAGCCATGTCAATGTAAGAAATTGGTTTCTCAATTAGACGCTCCAACAAGCCCCTCTTACACTCTTCAGTATTAAAAGTATCAATCTCAGCCAAATTGGTTTTGTTTTCAATTGATGCTACCACCATCTTTCCCTGACCCCCAATCACATTTGCACCAGAGATAAGAAACGGGTTCCCATTAGGGTCATGTTTGCTTTGTATTGGGTCATCAGGCCCAGCCAGCACAAGGATGCCATTTACAAGCAAACCATCTGCTGGAACCTTATCGCCTGGCCACAGGAGCACTATGTCACCCATTAGGTACTTATCACTTTTTTTACGTATGAACTCCAACTCATCCTTTCTCTTTGCCAATTTCAACTTTTTTCTCTCACGCCAAATGTTTGCCAATGAACTTCCTACAACCAGTAGCAAAATGGCAGAAACTATGGCAACACCATCATGCCAACCTTGTTTAGGTCCCTCCTGCTTGAACCCTATGGCAAATGACAACCCAGCTGAGATCAACAGCATCAGAATTGTGAAACAGTAGCATTTGCAGCTGGTCAATAAAAAGCTAGAGAAGTTTGTTCCAAGAACTGGTAATGGTATAGTGGCATGCACACCATTAATGTCCACCTGTTCACAACCAAATTCCCATCAACAAAACATATCTCTTTCAAGTCACCAAAGCCAACTGATAGTAGATCCATCATTAACACTTCAATAAACCAAGCATTTCATAGTTTACTCCAGTGAGTGCAAACCAAGAGGGATCTACCAAATATCATAATGATATGAACGTCCTCGTCACATAACGATCAACATGTTGATAAAAAATCATAAGGATATCTCTTTTGATCTCCTTTTAATTTTTTCTTTCATATATATTAAGAAAGTAAACTTGAACCTAATATTGGGATACAAACAAGTCTCATATCGATAAAATAAACGAAAAAATAACAACTTATAAAGTACACACATACTCCAATATTAGAGAAGCCTTTTGGGCGATGACCAAAAACAAAACCGTGAGAGCTTAGGCCCAAAGCGGACAATATTTCATCATTGTGGAGTTGTGTGTTAATAACCTTATGCATGAAAGGTTAGGTCCCTTTTTTGAGGGGAGGATTGTTGAGATACAAACAAATCTCACTTTATCCGTCCCTTTTTTGAGGAGAGAATTGTTGGGATACAAACAAGTCCCACATCTTATAAAATAAGAGAAAAAATAACAACTTATAAAGGACAAAGCAAACAACTTATAAAGCACAAAGCAAAACCGTGAGGGCTTAGGCCCAAAACGGACAATTTCTCATCATTGTAGCGTATATTTGTGTAATAACCTTATAAAAATAACTCTTATCAGATTATAGCTTGAAGACTGCTTCTTACTTATATCCATTATATTGATGCGGGTATAGGGTTTAAAGTTTAGGGTTTTGCCAAGAATTCAACATCTAGAGTGTAAAGTTTATAAAAATATATACTTGTAGGTGAGTTTCCTCAACCTACAAATATATATTTGTGGGTGAGTTTCCTCAACCTGTTAAACCTAACAAAACTCGAGATAGACTGTGATACCATGTTTAGAAAGTGAATTTGGGCCTACTCAACATACCAAAAGTTTGGCTTATCAAAATAAGATTGTTCTCCAAACATCATACGATATAAAAATCTTTTTTTTTTTTTTTATAGTTTTATGAAAAGGCATCGGTGCAAAGTATCTAAGGGGGGTAGCAGGTTGATACCTCAGAGGGTTGAAGTCGTATACTAGCAAGGACATTGGCAACGTGGTCAACCCCACCATGCTCATGAAGCGATTTGAAGTCCTTCTCCTTCACAATTCGAGCAATATCACTGATAATGCGCTCTTCTTCTTTTTCTTCTTCTTTTTCTTCTTCTATGTCAACTGCAACATAAGATTCGGACGGGGAGGTTCTAGAAGTTGTCGGCTTCTTCACAGAAATGAGGAATCGTATGATTATGAATAATCTTCTAGTTCTGGGCCATATACGGGTGTGGAGCAAGGTAGCAGTAGCACGAAGTTCAATGTTGCCACCATCACCACCAACGTCTGAAAACGTGGTTGCTGGGGACATGTTTGTTTGTGACAGTTAATTCGTTGTTTAGGACAGCAACAACCACAATGTTTGGACAACCTTTTCTTATAACAACCAGAACAAGTCTACACTGTTGTTCTCAAGATCCAACAAATGGGCTTTCAGACACCCATCTTGTTATTATACTCACGCGTAAGGTTTCAAAAATGAAGGCAAAACTATACTTTGATATCATGTCACCATATGTAACGCTTCAATTATTTTCCACTCTCAATTCATGGCATAATTTAGGTGAGAGTATAACAGGGGAATAAGTGTGAAATACACTTGAGAAAATAGGAAAAGGTGAAGCTCAATTGCTCAATGAGATTTGGATGATTTGGAAAGAACAAAGAAGGTGGATTTTTATAAGGGACATTTTGGGTCGTTTAGCAGATATTATAAAGTTCAAGGGTATGCATGCTATTAAGAATGATCAAGAGTGGCAATTAAACTCTCACAATTAAATTAAATTAGTTTAGGAATGAGTTGATAGAAACTCGCCACGTTGCCGCGTTTACGTTTCAGACGCGTAAGGTGTGGAAAAAAAGTGCTTTTGTTTGCGTTCCCACCGAAAATAAAAAAACGAATACGCAAATATAATTTTTTGGGCCGGCCCAAGGAAATGATACAGCAATTTACAATCGAATTACGGTACCAATTTTCTTCACACATGTTTGATTTTCTTCCATGTTCTATGAACCAAACATTGGCGTCACTAGTTTGAAGGGTGCCTAACTGGTGGAAATAAAGGAAATTATTTTTTTATTATATTCGATCGGAAATCAAACAGTAAACACGTTCCCAACTTTATTTTTATAGAGTTTAATTCATATGTTAATAAAAAAAATCATGATAGATATACTTTTTAAAGTAACTATTCTAAAAATTAACTAACTTGATAAAAATATCAATTTTTAATTAGATAAGATGACATACTATATCAAAACGTGGACTATTTTCTCATTATTAAAACCAAGTGTTTTTTTTTAATAAAGAATTTATAATGTTCTTAATTCTTTAAAACAAATAATTCATAATTTGTGAAGCTGAAGTCAAATACATGAATGATAATATTTATATTATCGTTGCAATTATTTCTATTATGAACAAATTATAATTGAAACAAGTAACTCATCAGCGATATCCTTTTATTCTCAAGCGTTCTAAATAAATTATTTGATTACAATTAAAAATATTAGGAAAATTTTAAAATCTATTTATTTTACAATGCATGTTTTCAATAATTCTAAAAAAAAATACTTTTAATAAATAAACATTAATTTTTAATATGATTGATAGAAACGATAAGGAAAAAATTAGATGACCACTAAATTATCTTTTATTGTGTGTGTGTGAAGTTATTAAAGTCATACGTGATAGCATATGTGTGTTAGTTATTAAAGTTAATTTAATGTAGCATATGTGTGTGCGCTAGTTATTTTCTCATTAACTAGTTTTGTCTTTAAATATCGATTTATAAAGAGGGAAGTGGTGATGGCGATGAGGAGTGCCCCTGAGAATGATGA